CGCCTTTGCCCCAGGCCACTGCCTGCTCCGCTCCAGTTCCCCCAGGCATGGGAAGAGAAAGTGCCAGAGTGGGGGTGTGGGCAGGGCCTGTGACTCGGAACCAGTGGTATCTGCCCTGATGGTCCCCGAGGGCTCGGTGTGTGCAAAGGACGGTGGCTGGGAACTGAAACCCGCACTTCTCCAGGGAGCTTTGACCTTAACGAGAACAAGATAAGGGAGCGGGAGCCGTCTACTATCTGGATGAGCCAGGCTAAAGACCTGCCTGTCTCCTGTTCACTGCGAATCCCCAGGGGTGTCTTTAAGTGTTTTATCTGGGTGTGAGGAAGAGCAGCCAGCCCAAAAGGCCCAGAACTGCACTGCTGAGGCCTCTGCAGTCCCAGCCTGCAGAAGCAGCGCTGGATTCATGCGCGGCCTCTCCAGCCACCTGGAAAAGGAAACCAGAGGAAGGGTGGAAGCTGGTGGGTCCTCTCCCCAGAGGGAGCTCCCTGGCTCTCTCCACGCTGCAGCCACGGGGACTGCTGCCTTTTCATTCCTTTACTGTCTTTGCTGGAAGCTAGGAGAACAGCACCCCTCATCCTTAAAGGGGGAAGTGAAAGAAAAGAGAAGGGCCCAGACTGCCTCCTCCTGAAAGCCAACGCTGTCTCTCAGTCACTTACACTGTGACACTCACTGTCGACTGGCCCCCTTTACTGGTGGAGGATCGGGTCTGCGCTCCCCGGCGCTGCTCCAACTGCTTCCCCACCGGCACTTTTATGGCTTCTGTTGTATTTTCTTCACTGATGCTGGGATGCTCTTTGGTCTCATTACATCCTTTTTCATTGTACCACTTGCAGAGCATGGAAGAGTCTCCTTGATCAGTCCTGTCCTCGCCCCCGTGACAGCCCAACACCCTGGGTGTGCGCGCGCATGCGCTCGCCCTGCCCTGGCGAGCCCTTCTGGGCTCCTGTTGGTGCCCTGGCCACACCCGGCATTCCACGACCCTGCTCCTTTGTTCACTCTGTTCTCTCTTCGCGGATGTGGTCATGTCCTTCCTACTCCATTCTCTATTTTCAGACTCCTGGTCATCCTTAAAGAGTCAGCTCCCCTGTCACTCCTCTGGGAAGCCTCCCCCTGGCCTGGACTGGACCCCTGCCTCGTGGGCCTCCTCTCTCCCGCGTACTGAATATTCACCAGCTCTGTGGCCTAAACACTGTATTGTACTTATTTGTTTACACTTGTCTTTCAACTACACAGGGAGCTCCTTGGGGGAAGGGGTCATGTTTTATTCATCTTTTTGATTCCTAGGTTGTAAAACAGAACTTGGCATGCATTCTTGTGTCCTCAAAAAAGGTGTGTGTGTTGGGGAGGTTGTATGCATGAATGTGGCTGTGCTGTTAAACTGAAAACCGATGCACGTGTGTAAGTCACTGTGGTATGCGTGGTGTCTCTGAGTAGCCCGTGGCATTGGGAAGGCAGGCTTTTAGATAAAGAGATGACTAGGTTCTAGGTTCTAGAAAGGTGGAGGGGATGGAGAACCAGAAAAGGGTGCACCCCCCAAAACCAAGATGGAAAGTCTTAAATAGGAGTTACAAGACTTGGAATTTGGAAGTGCTAACAACAGAGATTAGATCAAAAAGGTTAAACCATAAAATCAGTGGGGAGAATTCTGAAATGTGAGCAGGATTTATGAACAGAACCTTTTTGAATCTGAATCTGAATTCCCCAGTTTATTTTAAAATTTTTCTATTTATTGATTTTTAGAGAGAGGAAGAGAAATGCCTATTTGTTGTTCCACTTATTTATGCATTCAGTGATGGATTATTGTATGACCCTAACTGGGGATCGAACCCACGACCTTGGCATCATAGGATGATACTCTAACCAACTGGGTTACCCAGCCAGCGCCTCTTCCCCAGTTTCTGCAGCATTTCTGCTTCTCAACCTTCCTCTCATGGGGGACGTGCGTGTGTGTTTCCCAGTCGCTCACATGCTGACACTTTTGAAAAGTACAGTAGTAAAAAGAATTACTAGAAAAATAAAATAAAGAAATCAGACATGCAAAATATAAGGCTAAATTTATCATTAGATTTGAAAGATCGCATTCTGCCCAAATGCTGTAAGTTTCTACATGCTATTGTGCTATTGCTTCCCAGCCTTTGGGCTAAAATCAAGTGAAGTTTCTACGTGCTTTCTCTTGATTTCTGCACTTTGGGGCAGGTCAGTAACCAACAGTTTGCAAACTGGATCCTGTTCGCTTACCATACCTCAAAGGGCACTAAATCAGATTATCATCTATTTTCAATAATAGACATTACAAGGAATGAAAAACTTAATGAGAAGAAGATACTTACATACAAATTATTACAGTGGTAGAAATCTTAAGGGCATAAAAGAATAGAAAAATAAATGTTTTCTTGGCAAAATTTAGGACTATGTGACAAAAGTATTCAAATGGTGAAAAGTTCTTTTCTGTGTGAATCTCCCCAAAGTAGAGGAAATTCTTGGTTCTCTTGGACACCAATTGTCCAATGCAGAAGTTTTAAAGTGGTCTCTCGTTGTTCACAGTAGGGTAGCAATAGGCACTAACATCAAGCCAATAAAATTAATAAGCAGCATGGCAGGCCCTAATAAATTTCATTGGTATCTTTCCTCTGTCATTTGAGCACAGAATGAGCTGTTATTATCACTGAGCTTCAAACCTCTCATTTTGGCCTCAGATGATTACAGCTGCTAATGCAGTGCATGCTACAGTAGTTTTCAGTAACCGGGTTAGGGTTAAAGTATCATATTTAAAGGACTTAATTATGATCAGCAGGGGGAACAAGTTGTGGCCATGCGACTTTGATCTGTTTTCTAGAGTGGCCTACAAAAATCTGGACTCCTGACCATCTATTTTCTGAACCATTTCAGAGCAAGCAGCTTTTACAATCTAGTTTCTCCACCACAGACCGGGGCTTTGAACCTCTCTCACTTGGCGAGGGGCCAGCATTTGTTGGAAGCGGGCCACAGTTCTTTGTCTCTTACCCCAGATGAAATTCTTCAAGCCCCTTCACTCCATCTTTCCCTCGCGTGAAGAATTTAGTTTCAGGTTTCTGCAAATGAGCAAGCTTCGCACTTGAATCAAGAAAAGGGATTGTCGGCCGTCTGGCTGAACCCCGGTGCGCCACCAGGTGGGTGTGGTCTGTGCACACCACCTCCGCCTCTCCCTTCACCCCGCGGTTGGGTGCGGACTGTGCTCATGCACAGCTTTCTGACTCCCTTCTTAATTTCATACCCATCCGCATCCTTCTGCTCTACCTTCTTAGCGTTATGTACAATTTGTCCTTTTAAAATTCTGATTAAAGTATTAAGCAACTGTCAAATATAACCATTCAGTGTAAATTAAATGTCGGCCCATCCTCTGGGACCATATATAATTTTATGAAAATAACAATGAACACATGTTGTTGGGTTTTGGTTTGTTTTTTTTTTTTTTGAGGAAATGTAATTTAGGTTTAACATGTTAAAAATGCTGTTACATCAGTTCTAACCTCCTTCAACATTTCTTATGTGGGCACTAACTCTGTATCCTGTGCAGATATATAAGCCTCTTATAATTGTTCCATTCATAAAAGTAAGGAGACTGGGTTTTGCTATTGCAAGCTTTTAATGACAGCTGCACTTAAATCTTGTGACTCATTTCATATTGAGATGACCACTTTCTTAAGAACAGATGTTACCACAAAGCTTGTTTCAAAAAGAAATGAACATTGGTTCATGCGTGACAGTGATCCTAATACTAAACAACTAGACTGTTTGGAAGTTGTTCGACGCCATCTGTCAGATGCGCCACTGAGGAAGTTCATGGTGAAGCCCTGCCTGTTTTCTGTCTGTGGAACATAAAGCATGTGAGAGCATGAGTGTGGATTATTAAAAGAGAAGAAACAATTATCAGGTGGTTCTTCAATTTCAGTTTCGCCTTTTGCTAGTTGCTTCTAAATCCTGTTGTGTCTGGACAGGCTTCGGAATGAGGTCCAAGTGCTGGGATTTTCATGGTCTTCTTGACTGGTCGCTAGGTCACTTCCTCCAAATGCCACCCAAGCCCCTGTGGAGTTTGATAGAGGGGCACCGTACATGTTCAGGGCAGGGAATGGCACTGATTTTTTTTAAATTTATGTTGTTTCAGCTGTTTTCACTTTTTTCTTTATTGTGTTCTTGCCTCTCACAGAGCTAGCTTTGTTGAGCATGGTCGAAGGGAGCGGGGATGCTCGGTTGTGAACTCTTGAGCACACAGGGCAGGAAGGAGCTTCCCTCTCTCCACTGTTCAAATAGCTGCCTCTAAGCCATGTACATGGAACCCATTGTGGGTCTGAGCCCTGGCTGGTATTTGTGAAAGACTTTAGTTCTGTACCAGTACTTTCTTTCTATCTTAAAGGGTATGTTTAAATCGACTCTTGTCACTTTTCCCAGTTTTATTAAGATAGAATTGACATATAACATTGCATCAGTTAAGGCACACAATGTATAGCAGTGTTACAGTATGTTAACTGTATACAGTGTGTTAACTAAACACAGTAAGTTTAGTTAACATCCATCACCTCATGTAGTTACAAGTTACTCTTCTTGTGATGAGAAATTTTAAGATCTGCATCTCTGGTTTTTCACTGTATGAAGTTTGGAGTATCTTTTACCATATCATGATATCATATCAAGGAAACAGCAGATGATATTTTTATGTCAAAACTCTAATACTATTGGTAACTGTGGTCATTACATTATGCTTCTAGAGAAGTTCTAATACTACTGGGGGGCAGATAATTAATGTATACAACACTCTTTTTCTTTGCTCACAATCCTCATTCTATAAATATGTTAAGCATTATCATCATTAATAAAAGAGAGACTCCATATTCTCAGAGTGGAGTTAATGAGCACATCCATATGATAATTATTGACATTGAGAGAAGGATACATCTTGCAAACTAAAGATGACTTATGGAAGGACAGCAACATCTAAGACAGCCTTCTCGTTGCTTTCGCAGGATTACCTTGACTGCATCAGGGACCAAACAAAACTTCCTCTGGGGACAGAAGAAAGATCAGCCCTTTTTGGAAACATACAAGATATCTACCACTTCAATAGGTAAGTGACTACTCAGAAGATTGCTCTCACATGGGGACATTATGAATTTCTCTCAAATGAATATGGACTAAGAAAACTTTGCCTGGAACCCTTGATTTGACTTCATAACATTGTGTGGGCTCTTGCGTCGTGAAATCTTCCACCCGGAAGCATTCTGTTTTTTTCTTTTTAATTTATTTACTTTTAGAGAGAGGGGAAGGGAAGCAGAAAGAGAGGGAGAAACACATCAGTGTGTGAGAGATACAGTGATCAGTGGCTTCTCACATGCCTCCAACTGGGGACCTGGCCCACAACCCAGGCATGTGCCCTGATTGGAAATGGAACCAGTGACCTTTTGGTTCGCAGGCCAACACTCAATCTACTGAGTCACACCTGCCGGGGCCCAGGAAGGCCATTCTTGTTTGTGTATGAGTCTCCCATGTGTTCAGTATCTTGTCCCGCTGCATCCTCCTGGCTCAGAGCAGAGACCTGTTTTCCCTGGCAGAGCATTCTTCTCACACGATACGAGTGGGGCCTCCAAAACTCCACACGGGTTTTGTCCGCAGCATCCTCACCTCCACTTCCGAAAGTGTCCTTCCGCCTGGCCAGAGGGCAAGACGCAATAAACACAAAATGAGTACTTAAGTCATATATGTTAGTTGGTATTAGTTAACAATTAAAATTGTAAATGATTAATTCAAACATGTATTCAGTACCTACTATGTAGCAGGCACTGGGCTAAGATCATTTCCTTAGGAAACAAGACAGCCAGGGAGCTGAAGGGGCAAGCAAGTCACTTATTATAAAGTAGTGTGATACTTTTTGGAAGACCAGGTAGTAGGCAGGTTAAGAGCACAGACTCCAGTATAGCAACAGTGATCCTGAGAAAGAAGAACAAAGTTGGAGGAATCATACTATCTAATATCAAACTATACTTTAAGGCCCTAGTAATCAAAACAGCATGGTACTGGCATAAAAAAGACACATAGGTCAATGGAACAGAATAGAGAGCCCAGAAGTAAACCTACACCTTTATAGTCAATTAATATTTGACAGAGGAAGCAAGCACATACAATGGGCTAGAGATAGTTTATTCAATAAATGGTGTTGAGAAAATTGGACAGACACATGCAGAAAAGTGAAACTAGACCACTTTCTTACACCACACAAGAATAAATTCAAAATGCATCAGAGGCTTAAATGTTAGACCCAAAACCATAAAAATCATAAAAGAAAATATTGGCAGCAAAATCTTGGAGATATTACTTATAGCAATATTTTATCAGATGTATCTCCCCAGTCAAGGGAAACAAAAGAAAAAGATAAACAAATGGGACTACATCAAACTAAAAAAGTTTTTGCACAGCAAAGAAAATTGCCAACAAAATAAAAAGATAACTCATAGAATGGGAGAACATATTTCCCAATCCGTCTGATAAGGGCTTAATATCCAAAATTTATGAACTCACAAAACTCAACACCAAAGAACAAACAACCCTATTAAAAATTGGGCAAAGGACCTGAATAGACAAAGAGGACATACAGATGGCCAGTAGACATGTGAAAAGATGCTCAAAGCCACTAGTCATCAGAGAGATGCAAACTAAATCAACAAACAAGTGCTGACAAAGATGTGGAGAAAGGGGAACCCTTTTTTCACTATTGGTGGGAATGCAGACTGGTGCAGTCATTGTGGAAAGCAGTATGGAGGTTCCTCAAAAAAAATTAAAAATGGATCTGCCTTTTGACCCAGCTATCCCACTCTTGGGAATATATCCAAAGGAACCCAAAACACTAATTCAAAGGAACATAAGCACCCCGATGTTCCCTGCAATGAATATATTTACAATTATTTACGTATGCAGGATATGGAAGCAGCCCAAGTGTCCATCAATAGATGAGTGGATAAAACAACTATGGGACATTTATACAATGGAAATCTACTCAGCCATAAAAAAGAGGAAAATTTAACCCTTTGTAAAAACATGGATGGACCTGGAGAACATTATGTTAAGTAACATAAGCCAGTCAGAGGACAAATACCATATGACTTCACTCATATGTGGAATCTAATGACCAAACTGAACTAACAAGAAAAATGGGGACAGGCTCTTAGATGGAGAGCAGGCTGACAGCTGGGGAGGGGGCAGAGGTCAGTGGGTGGAGAGATTGAGCAAAAAGGAAAAAAGACTCACGGACATGGACGACAGTGTGGTGACTGCTGGGGGGAGAAAGGTATAGGGGACTAAATGGTAATGAAAAAATACAATGAAGATCAAATTTTTTTTGAAAAGAGCACAGGCTCTGGCTCCCAAAATATCTGGGTTTGCATCCCAGCTGAACCATGTGCATATCCTTTGGTGAATTTTAGTGAAGTAAAAGAAAGAACTTGCTCAGTTTAAGTCTTTGCTCCAATCTTCCTATCTTAATGCACTTACCCAGAAACCCACCTGACCCCCTGACACGCACACGTTAACTGCTCAGCTCTCTTTTTCTCCTGGAATTTAGCAACTTCTAACATAAAATATGGTTGACTTTTGGGATAGAAATCTTGTTTCTCTCTTCCCCACTGCCACTCACAGAACACTCCCAGGGGACAGGGATCCATCTGGTCTTTTATTGCCCAAGTGCTTAAAACCGCACCCGGCCAATAGGGGGCATCAGAACTTTCGTGGAATGAATGAATACAAAAACATGTGTCTACCTCGTATGGTTATTGTGAAGCTGACCCACTTAAAGTGCCTAGTTCAATGCCAGCACACAGTAAACACCCAAATATTAACCAGTGCTGACATTGATTTTGATATAGTAAAACCCCGTTATCAAGTGTTTCAGTGTCCTGCCATTATGAGACTCAACCACAATGCAAATTTTAAATCCTCCCCAACCTTTTCATACTGAAATTGGAATACATGAGCCCTTCGAGGGCCGGATCCACATCTCTGTTGCTGTCTTTGAGTCCTGAACTCCTAGCACAGGCCCCGCCTCCGGGAGGCGTGTTTGCTGAATTGCATCAGCTGCATGCTTCCATTCTGGAAACCTAAGCATGTCAAAAATGCCGGTGTTGCCACATCTCTGTCATTTGATTTAGTAGCCTGTGAAAACTGGTTTGCATGTTCTGAAACGGTGGTTCTCAACCTGGGCTACACACTGGGTGGAATCACCTGGGAAGCTCTTTTTAAAAAGTATGGTGGCTCCTAAGCCCAGAAGTTCTGATGAGTTGGTCTGGCACGGGGATGGGGTATAGGGACGTTTTAAAAGGTTCTCAGATGTTTGTAACGTGCACCACAGTGGAAAAATACTATCCACGTCAAATAACCACTAGATAGGAAAATAGAGAAAAGACAAACAAGCTAGACTAGGGGACGTGGAGTCCATGTGTTCACATCATGGGTCCATGTTAGAGCAGGCGATCGGAGTCCACCGGCAGTGCCTTAACGGGGGGACAAGGGCCGAGGCCACAGTGCTGGCGGGCCCAGGAGTGGGGCCCCCTGTGGATTGGCTGTAAGCTGGTGGCAATGACTGTTTATCTAGCGCTTGCTTCATGCCAGAGGTTGTAGAGCTTCGTGTGTGATCACCTTATATGCATGCCTCATCTGGGCTTCTCTGACTCCAGACCTGTTGTGGCAGGATCCAGGAAGGGTGTTTTACCCCCTGGAGTTCAGATCTTCATGTGTCTCCTAATTTCAAGAAAGATAAGAATGGAGTTGCATCTTCTATCCACCAGCTGGGGCCTTGGCAGCGGGGCGTGGGCATTGGAGCCCGGTCTGCAACAGCTGGAAGAGTGAGAAGACCTTTCTGTTCCTGAACTGGCCCTCTGTTCTTTTCTCTGTGGTGCTCCTGGACCAAGGAAGTCAGACGTGATGAAATAACCCAAGTCAGAGTGAATGAGTGTGGTGATGATGACTCGTGAGGTGTCTGCATAGTGACACAATGATACGTGACCCAGTTTGTGCCTGTCCCTTTTGTAGGTCACATTTCTATAGCCCCCTGCACATGCATGACCTCATTTAACCCTCCTACCTCTCTGAAGTAGACCAGGCACACCTCTCAGAGACAGGGCACCCATCCGACAGGCCCGCAGTCTGCTGTGTGTGCAGAAAGGCTCAGGACACAGAGCTAGGAACACAGTCTAGCCTATTTTCGATGCCTTGGTTTTTGTCAAACCTCTATTGTTATTATTAGTATTAGTATTTTATTGTTTTCAATAATATCTTCTCATTAAACTTTTATAGTTAAATGGTACTATATTATCCCTATTCATTTTTATTTCCTTTCTCCTAATCTGGAGTCTAAATTCAGAGCTCGGATGTTTTTGCTATTATAATTGGTCAAATAAGAATAGTGATATTATTTTTCATGTTACTGCCTCTTATGAACCTTTTATTAACTATCGCCCTATATCAGTTGATTTCAAAGGTAGAAGTACCCAGCCGATCTATGGCTGGGGCTTGAAATAATTTTAAAGTTTCTATTATTAGTTCTGGTCCAGGTTTTTCAACATCACGTATTGCTGTGACTAACTAAGCAAGATTTAAATCTCTAAAATTAAAGAGGGCAAAAAGCAAGTGGTTTTATGCTGACCTGAAAAATTCATCTGAGTAGATTTTGTTCTTCAGGAAATATTTCCAAAATACAGAACAGCACAGAGTAAACACCCATGAACCACCCCACTCTGTCGAAGCCTTTCCTTGTGACATATTTGCCCTAGAAAGTCTTTGAAGCATAAAGATGTTACAAATCGTGTTGAAGCCCCACATGCACCACCCCCACTGCAGTTCACTCTGGGGAGAATGGCACAGTGATGGTAAACCAGCTCCCCAGGGTGAGGACAAGGGAGAGGGAACCTGAGATCGAGAGTGTTTGCCAATTCCTACCGTGCAAATGCTCTATCGCCGCAGATTTTAGGCTACGAACAAGACATCGCTGAACAAGACAACTTCCAAAACAGGGAAGTAGGACGAGCTACACAGAGTTGGCTCAGACCAGCCAGTGTAATCTGGCTCCACATACCACCATAA